ATGGTCAACGCTACAATCGATCTAGACGCGGCAAAACAAGGCGAATTTCTTATCAAGGCCGAAGTTGACGAGGAGCTCGAAGGTAAGCAAAGTCTTGTTCGCTATTTCCCAAGTCCCTGCCAAAGGGCAGTTAGCGTTTACGAATTACATAGGGCGTCATAATTTGACTCAGCGAACAGTAGCATGGCTCAGTTATATTAACTTCAGTGTTTTGGGGTCTAGCCCACCAAATTGTAGGCTCAATCCGAAATCTACTGCAAATTAGAGTCGTCATTCCGTTAGCATTCCCTTCTCCTTTTTGCACTCTTAAGCATATTACTAATAGACATTACGTTTGAGGACCCTATTAAGGCCAAAACACAATACTCAAATCCAGATAAACCTGTTAATATACTATTTTCATTAGTGTATGCACTTCGCACAACTTTGCAATTTGCCGTAACTGTGTGCGCTTCATGCGGTTAGGGCGGAAACCGAAGCCGCGCAATCTGGCAGGCAGAATAACTGCTCCCTGAAGAAATGTCGGCAAAGTCAGTAATGGTCATTTCTAGCCTGCTAGCAGTCGTCAGCCGGCCATACCCCAGGCTTGGTTAATCGGGGACTCGAACCCAGACTCTTTGGTCAGTAGAGCCGCAATTTATCCACACTTGGGTCAGTAGCAGAGCATTTGTTATTTAATTTATAACGTCTGAGCAAATCTTTGCTTCTTCTTCTTCTTCTTCTTCTTCTTCTTCTTCTCCTTCAGCTATAAAAGAAAAAATAACAAAGACCGAGTCGAAAATATTTAGGGAATTCCGCAAGGTGAGTTGCTGTTTTATTTCTCATCTGGTTGCTTACCCTATAACCCGACTGTGCAAGTAGTGTTTTAGTAACTGGGTGCTTACACAGTTATTAACTAACTTGCAGTCAACTCCCAAGATGTTTCAGTCACGTCAGGGTGCTCTTTTTTGAAGGAATTTATTTCTGTTCGCCTGCAAAAAGCATACTCTGAAAAAACGACCACTTAAATACTATGTATTTTTTTCATAGGTCCTCAATGCTTTTATAAATTAAAATAATTTTAAAGGAAATGTAATGTTTTGTGCTCTTTTGGTAGCAAGTTACGCCTTCTTCAAATTTTATACCCAGACAAAAGATATCTTTTGTTTTAAGACGGTGAAATGTTTAGTTATACTACATCTAATCTGTCAATCTATTAATGTTGCCTTTCAAGTGTATAATATGGTTCACACGAATTGCAGAATTTTATGAGATCTATGTTACCTCCTTTTCATAGCATCGAGAAAAGTCTGGTTGTCCTCAGTCAAAGTTTATATAGGATGGAACTTAGAAAACTTCAAGACCGGTTGGGTCCAAA